AATTGGAGATGTGATTCCAAGCTTGCTAAATGTGTGGCTGACCTGAGGGAGTAACTGGGAGGGAGTTGTTGAGGGGTTCATTGCTTTGGGTTCACTGCAGAGCCACAAATTCAACAACAAATTCCTCCTCCCAAAGATTCCCAGTGCCTGTTGTTATTATTGTTATTATTGTTATTATTGTTATTATTATTATTATTATTATTATTATTATTATTATCCTGCAGCCTGTATTTTTATTTACCCCTGGTTCTCAAACTTTTACAAAACTCCATGTTTCAGTGGTAGCCCCTTGGTTTTCCCCCTCCCCACGCAGCTCAGAGGCTGTGAAAGGATGGCTCATGGTCTCCAAGAGTTTATCCAGGCCTTGGATTGCCGGGAATCCTGATATTGCTGGGTCTGCTGAGAATGGAGAAGCACCCCAATAACATCTCCCATGGTAGGGGTTGGCAGGAGAGGAGCTTTAGGGTGTCTTCCAACCCAGCTTCCTGAGACTTGGGAGTGCCAGAATTCCAGAGTGGTTTGGGTTGGAAGGGACCTTAAAGCCCATCCCATCCCCCCCTGCCTTGGGCAGGGAACCTTCCAGAGCCCAGGCTGCTCCAGCGCTTCCAGGGATGGGGCAGCCAGAGCTTGTATGGATCGTCTCTCCATCCTGGTTGTGTTTTGCAGGGAGGTGCCCCCATGTTCCAGATGTTAAGGGGATGCTGAGGGGTTTCCTTCCCTTCTGGATCATCCATCTCTGATTTAGGAAAGTCAGACTGGCCAGACACCTGACCTGGCCAAACACCCGAGCGTGGATGAGCGGTCACAGTGGTGCTCACTCAAAGGCTGGACTTGATTTTGGGGTCCTTTTCCAAGCCTATTCCCTGGTGATGCATGGACACAGCTTCCATGGAAGGCCCAGGAGCTCTGGAGCAGTTTGCAGCAGCCCAGGGATTCTGCAGAGCTCTGCTCTTGTCCAGCCACAGCCAGGCCCATCTGGCCATGGGGACAAAGCTCCTTGACAGACAACTCCATAAGGGATTTAAAGATTGGATTTACTGAAAGAGGGATTATGGAGGGCTAGACTCAGCAGGAATTTGTGCCTTTAGGGTGACTTTAAGGTTTTGGGGAAATGCAGCTTGCATCAGGTTCTCCCTTTCTGCTGCTGGGGCTGGCAGAGCATCGTTAAAGTTGGGATAATGAGGGTTTTTATTAATGGGAATGTTCCAGAGGCTTTGGCAACACGCCTGGGATTTCACAAACATGAAAATAAATGGGAAAAAGAGCAGCTTCCCAGTTTTACACCCAGAACAAATGAAGTACAGCATGGCTGGCAGGAAAAATCCCAATGCAGATACCAGATCTGCTGTGACCCCTTATTATCTCACATTTCCCACACACAAGGAGATCAGGAGCTCCCACCACACCTGAGAATTCCTTTAGCAGGTGAGCTTGGCTCCTGCAGCTGCTTTGGCTCCTCGGGAATTCAGAGTAGGAGATATCTCCAGGATTTTCAATCTTTCCCCCCTCATTTGACATCCCATGGGATAAACTGGTAATACTGATCTTAAATATTGGTGTATTTTTGCCCACCTCCTGCTGGGAGGCAAAGAGAGAACCTGGCTCTCCTTCCTGTAGTTCCCAGCCTGCATTCCTGCCCCCATCATTCCTGTTGTGCTGTGATGTCCTTTAGCTCGGGCAGCTCTTTGCCTTCCCAGATGTATTTTTAGATTGCAGCCTCCTCTCCTTTCACCTTCCTGCTGGCAGGATGAGTAGAATGACCTCTCCACATCCTCTGCTGGTGCCAGAACACAGGAATGGTTTCCCACTGACAGAGGACAGGGATGGATGGGATATTGGGAGGGAATTCCTCCCTGTGAGGGTGGGCAGGCCCTGGCACAGGGTGCCCAGAGCAGCTGTGGCTGCCCCTGGATCCCTGGAAGTGTCCAAGGACAGGCTGGACAGGGCTTGGAGCACCCTGGACAGTGGAAAGTGTTGGAAAAAAATGGGCTTTAAGGTCCTTTCCATCCCAAACCATTCCTTGATTCTCTGATTGTCTCTTCCCCTCACCAGGCCTGGAGCCTCTTCCTTGCCCCTTCCTGGCTCCTTGCATGCAGCCAGCCAGAATTGTCCCTCTCATCCCTCAAATGGAACCCCCTCAGCAGCAGGAATTCAAACCAGGGTTTCCCTGGCACCAGCAAATGCTGACACAGCAAATCCAGCCCTGCTAAAACTCCAGCAGCCTTGACCAAAACACCATGAATATTCATGAGGTGATTAATTAATGTCTCCCTGCTTTAATAGCTCCTCACAAAATTCTGTGCCATCCCAGGGGCTGGCACCCGGGTGGAAGTGTCACTTTAAGGTATTTTGGAACAACCTGGTCAGGAGTGAACATGTCTGAGAACTGCAGTGACCCCAATCAGCTCCCCACGGCTGTGATGTTGATTAGTATCCATAATTAGAAATTCTCCAGGAGGGTCAGGCTGTGCTGCAGAGCTGGAATGGTGCAGGAAGGAATTTCCAGCTGTGGGATATTCCAAGTTCAGCAGCCTCCATTGTTCTTTGCATTTACACGAAGCTTAGTGGACTCCTGTGGCTGGAGATGCCCTCCAGGAGACAACATGCCTTGGGAAGAGGGAGATGGAAACATTTGTATGGATGGAAGCAACATGGGAAATGCCAGGAGTGTTTCCTCCCTGTCCATTTTCCTTCCCCTGCCAGGACACAGGATGCTGGGTTACCCAGATTATCCACACTGCCTCCAGAGGGATTTTGGGGCTGAGCTTGTGGAAGCCTTTCTGGGGTTTCTCTGGCCATTCCCAGTCTGGAGTGAAGAGAGCTTTGAGATTTCAGCAGGATGGGGATTGCAGAGGGAATATCTGCAGTGGGGGTGGGGTGGGTGCTGGATTTATCCCAGATTCTTACCTCCAATTGCTCACCCTTTCCCACTCAGCACTTCCAGCTCATTCCCACAGGATGCTGGAAGTGCCAACGCTCTGAATAATCCCAAAAACCATTAGAGGAGAGCAGCTCCTTCAAGGGTTTTTAAACACAGGGTTGTGCATCCAGCCTCCAGCTCAGGGAGCTGCTGGATCATGGGATCCTGGAAGCTGCCAGGGAATCCTGAAGGCACCAGAACTCCGAGCTTGCTTTTGATCCCAAGCATCTGCCACTGGCTGCTGTCAAAACTCATCACTCATCCTCCAAAACTGCAGGAAAAAGCGAAGGGGTTCTGTAATGTGGAATTAAATGATCAGTTGTGGAGCAGGACTGGTTGAACCTCATTAATTGATGTGCTAATTACCTGTGGATATCTAGGCCAGCCTGGACTGTGAGCTTCACTTGGAGAAGTTTTGCAAGTGGATCTCCAGCAGCTTGAAGGAGAAGAAAACCTTTCTCAGTGCTTGTGGAGGCTGAACCAGTGCTGTCCCCTTTGTGAACATCCCCTTGGGTGCAGTGGAAGGTAATTAATTAATTAATTAATAGCTTTGTCACACTGTGAACTCTCTGACCTTTTTGCAGTGTTCCTGTCAGTGAAAGGTGAATAAATTCAGGCAGTGAATGAGGGTGATGGGACAGGGTGAGGTGGTGTCTGAAGAGGGGAGCAGCAGGAGCTGAGTTTGGGTGTCTGGTGGCACAGCCGTCGATTGATCCACTGCCCATGGATACACAGAGCCAGGCTGGGAATAAAAAACAATTTATCTCATTTCCAGGAGTCTCTGGTCTGGGGAGATGAGGGTTGGTAACACCAGGGCAGGAGCCTGGTGACATCCCCTCAAAAGGAATAAATACATTTGTGAATATAAAATGCATTTTATATGTGTATTATCTGTATGTATATTTAACTCTACAACAGACGACTTTCAGTCCATTTCATAGAAAAACACGGGTTTGGGTTGTAAGGGACCTTAAGGACCATGGACAGGGACACCTCCCACTGTCCCAGGCTGCTCCAAGCCCCCAGTGTCCAACCTGGCCTTGGACACTGCCAGGGATCCAGGAGCAGCCACAGTTTCTGTGGGAATGGATGCCAGGGCATCCCCACCCTCATTATCAGACCCTTCTTCCTAATGTCCTATTTAAATTAGAGGTGTTTCTAATTTAAATCGAGGAGTTTCTTCACCTCTGGAATTTGTCCCATCTTTGCATGACACATCAGCACACAGTCCTGGAGACACGAGCAAGGAAAATCCCAACCCAACCCCAGTGTCTGTTTTGTCCTTCTTGCAAAGCTGACCCTTTATCCCACCCCCATCTTTCTTTGCCCCATTCCATGATCTCATTCCACCTGTTGGGCTCCCCCCTCGGCCTCAGCGAGCCCTGGTTTGGGCAGGGCTGCTGAAATGACCTCACCAAAGGGCTCTGGCCATCCCCACCCCCACCGGGATGTATTGAAGTGGGGTGCCCCCAACCAGGGAATGATGTGCTCTGACTCCATGATTCCAGAAGGCTGAACAAATGCTTTGTTAAGCTATACTGTATTACACTAATACTGTACTAAATTACATGCTAAAGAGATACCATACCATACTAAAGAGATACTCTACTTCTAAGATACTAGAGAAAAACCTGTGACTGTCAGAGACAGTCAGGACCCAGCTTTGACCCAACTGGCCAAGGAATCAAAACAACTTTCACCAGTGTCCAATTAACGAATCACTTTGGGCAAACAATCTCCGTAACACATTCCACATGTGCCAAACAACAGGAGCAGCAAGTAGAGATAAGAAATGTTTTCTCTTCTTCCCTCTGTGCTTCTCACTGCCTTCCCCAGGAAAAGTCCTGGGAGCGAGTTGTGCCTGCTGCTCTCTGTGAGGAGAACTGCGGCCCCAGGGATGCAGCGGTGCCGGCAGGATGGGCAGCAGCAGGCGGAGGCCGAGCTGCAGCAGGGGCTGAGCCCATCCCAGGGACTGAGCCCATCCCAGGAGCTGAGTGCATCTCAGGGGCTGAGCCCATCCCAGGAGCTGAGCCCATCCCAGGAGCTGAGCCCAGAGGAGGCTGTGGCCGTGCTGGCGCTGATGGAGGAGCACGAGGAGCCCCTACTGAACCACTCCATGGCCTTCATGGAGCACCTGGTCCAGGAGCTGCAGGGGCTGGAGGAGGTATGGAGCCACGGAGGTGCCCAGAAGGAGGGGTTGTGTCTCTGGGCATCAGCAGCTCTGCCCTTTGCTCTGGGAGAAATTCTGGGAGGAAAGGGAAGGGAAGGGAAGGGAAGGGAAGGGAAGGGTCTGGGTATGGGGTGCTCTGGGGCTGGCTGAGGAAGGACAAGGGGCAAAAAGGGGCCCCTACAGAAGGAAAAGCAGGATTCAGAGAGAGTGAAATGAAACAGAGCTGGAAGGAGATTGAAAAGGAAATATAAAACAGTAGGAAGGGCCAGTGGAAAAGGAACAGGATATTTCCAGAATTCCTGGTGAGGGTGGGCAGATCCTGGCACAGAGTGTCCAGAGAAGCTGTGCCTGTCCCTGGATCCCTGGAAGTGTCCAAGGCCAGGTTGGATGGGGCTTGGAGCAGCTTGGGAAGGTGGAAGGTGTTGGAGCAAAATGGGCTTTAAGGTCCCTTCCTTCCCAAGCCATTCGAGGATTCTGTGGTTTTCCATAGATTTGGAAGGGAAAGAGAGGAAATTAAGCCAAGGAGCTCAAGGGTCCTCTGGAAGAGGATCCTTCAGTATCCCTGGCCCCCATCCCTGGGTGGATGGAACTGGATGGGCTTTAAGGTCCTTTCCAACCCCAACCATTCCATGACTTTTGACTATTGGTCTTTACTGACTCCATTTGTGTTGCTGTGATTTATTGCATTTCTGCAGAGGAAATTTCTCCTTTAAGTGCTGGAACAAAAAACCTAGGAAAGCTGCTTTGAGCACTTACCTTCTGCTAAAATATCTGGGATTTTATTGTTGGTAGCCAAGGAAAAAGGGGGAAAAAATAAGCCAAAGGAAATATCTTAAACCATACAAGAAACCACAAACCCTAAGTAGAGCCTCCTTTAGCTGCAGAGTTTGCTGTATTCCCATATATGATTTATTACACTTGGAAGTTAATCTGGAAGCCCAAACTCCTGAGGTTTGTTCCTGCCAGCTCCTGGCAAGGAATTCAGGCACTTTGTGACTGTTCCCAGCTGTAAAACACCCTGGGAGAGCAACAAATACATCTTTATTAAGTTTTTTGAGATGAAAGGCGCTGTTGAATACATTATTTTAATGCCCTCTAATGAATAAGTGTGACTTCCCTCTAATACAAATTAATTAATGAGCATTTCCATTTCCGAGCTCTAATCTCCAATATTAAATGTTATTAATCCCAGCAAGTTAGACCAGCACATGCATCCATTTCAATGTTTTCCCCCCATCCCAGTGATAGCACCTTGGCTTTCTCTCCCTTATTTATCACCCTCCTCTAACCCAGCTGTTCTGGGAATCACAGAAATCCCTGCACTGGCAGCAAGGAAAAGTTGATTTCTCCAAAGGGAAGGACGGCACGGCCAGGACACTGGGAGGCCAAGGGCTCTGATTTGGACATTGATATTCTTCCAGAATTCCAGGATCCAAGCACATGTGGAACTGCAGGCAGCTCCCAGCAGCTCTGTGCTGTACCTGGATTTTATTCCTGTTCCTGGAGCCTCTGGAAGGCCCCTTCCCACAGCACTGTCCCATCAATGTCACCGGGAATGCTCCCCGTGGTGACAGCCTGAAGGAGTGGCAGGGGCAGGCATGGGGGAGGCTTCTGGCTCTTATTAAAGAAAAATTAATAAAAGGGAAGCTCTGGGCAGAGCTGATGGGACAGGATGGGGTCCCTGGGTGCGGCAGGGAAGCAGAATTTGGACCATGGCCAGTGCTTTTGGAGATGAGTGTCCATGGTTAGAGAGGCTGGGAGAGCTGGGGGTATCCACCTGGAGAGGGGACCTCAGAGCCCCTGCCATGGCCTGAAGCACCTCCAGGAGAGCTGGAGAGGGACTGGGGACAAGGCATGGAGGGACAGGACACAGGGAATGGCTCCCACTGCCAGAGGGATGGATGGGATATTGGGAATTAGGAATTGTTCCCTGGGAGAGTGGGCAGGCCCTGGCACAGGGTGCCCAGAGCAGCTGTGGCTGCCCCTGGATCCCTGGCAGTGCCCAAGGCCAGGCTGGACACTGGGGCTTGGAGCAGCCTGGGACAGGAGAAGGTGTCCCTGCCCATGGGATGGAATGGGAAGAGCTTTAAGGTCCCTTCCCAACCCAAACCAGACTGGCATTCTCTGAAATCTTGTGGGATGGACACTCAGGTCATCCGGAGACTCCACTATTTGTGGAGGTGAGGGTTGGACACTCCCTGCAGTGACACATTCCCAGGGAACAGAACCAGCAGGGCTTGGTGGCCTCTCTGGACCGATGGAGACTCTTCTGCTCATGGCCAGATTTTCCTGGACACTCCCCAGGAATTTGCTTGCTGGGGCAGTTAGAAGTGCCCTGAGGGGACACCTTGCTCAGGACAGGGTTTTGTGTGCCCTGGCTCTGGGGACATGCAGGTGGCACTTGGCCAAGGTGGGACAGTGGCGCTTCCACCAACATCCTGCAGGTTACAGTGACATGTTCTCTGCTGTGCCTCAGGAGGGTGAGAGACAGGACATTTGACCCCAGGATGGTGACACATCCCCTGCCAAGCTCTGAATCCCTCTGCTCCTGCCTCCCACAGGCCAACCTCCAGGCCATCATCTCCTCGGGGCAGCAGGTGGCCCAGCTGATGAGCTGCCTTGACGCGGCGCTGGCCGAGGTGGCCAGGCTGGAGGAGACCCTGCAGCTCTGCGAGGAGCTGCTGGGGGGTGTGAGGCAGCAGATGGATCGCATCCACCGGGAGAACTCCCTGCTGCACCGCCTCGCTTCCAACAGGACCAGGCTGATGGATGAGCTCCTGTTCCTCACGGTGCGTGCCTTTGCAAGGACATTAATCTTCAGCAGCTGAATCTGCTGGGAAAAGCTTCCAGGGAATTTTAAACACTGGAAGCTCTGATTGTCTGCAAGGTCTATGGAGCTCCTCTGGCTGGGAAATGGGGGATGGTGTGAGGTGAGGACGGACAAAGAAGAACTGGGATGTGCAGGACCCTCACCATGGCCCAGAGGGGTCTCTGAAAGGCCTTTTCCAGGGCAGGATTAGGAATGGCAAAGCTGATTAAATAAGCATGAACTGGGAATACAAACCCAGCAATTAATGAACTTAATGAATTAATTAGAGGCAAAGCTTGCAACACCAGGCCTTCCTTCTCCACCACTGCAGCTGTTCCTGAGCAGAACATTGGTTTTCATGGGGACTTCCATGGATTTCCTGACGGACACAGCAGCTGCTGCTGGGGGCAGCACTTGGCTGTTCCAGCCAGCAGCACTCCCAGTGGGATGGGAAGGGATGGGAAGGGAGGGAAAGGAGTGGAAAGGGAGGGATGAGGGGCTGGCTGTGTTTGCAGCTGCCCTCCCTGGCTGTGTTGCAGAGCCAGCTGCAGCTGAGCAGGGAGCACCGCGCCGCCCTGAGCCGGGCGGATCTGTCCAGCCCCGCAGCCATCGCAGCCTGCACGGCTGCAGCGCGGGCTCTGTCCTCCTGCATGGACCTTCCCATCCACCCCAGTGAGTAGGAGCAGGGCTTCCTCCCACGGGATCGCCCTGCCAGGGGTAGACACCTCTCGGAGCTCGGAAAGGAGCTGGGGAAGCTGTGGCTGGAAATCCTGATCGGTGCTGTCTGTGCTCCAGCATGAAAAAACAGCAGTTCATTGTGGCAGGATGTGGGAGTTTTTGGATCCCTGGAAGTGTGCAGGGACTTGATCCTGGCAGGAAATTCCAGGTTTTCCTTGTGGCGAGACTGGGCGGGTCTCCTTGGCTAAGGTTGGACTCATGGATTATTTTTATTTTTTAAATTCACTCCTTGTCTGTATTTCCTTGGTACTACAGGAAAGCTTTTGCCCTTTCATCAGCTTTTGGGTGGATTTATTCCTGGACTTCTGTCTGAGTTCCCAGTTTTCTGAGGAATGTGGGTCTGCAACTCCCCCAGAACCCCTCAAATCCCAAAATATCCTTTTTTTCCCCGAGGTTACCGGAAGCTGCAGGCAGTGGCAGAGCAGCTGATCCTGTTTGAAACTCTCAAGCAGAACTTTGAGAGCTCCTTCATCAACCACATCACAAACATCTTCGAGCTGCAGGTGGGCTCCACTCTTCATGGCAGCCTGAAATCCTGGGAAATTGGAATATCCTGGGGAGGTCGGGCCAGTGGTGCAGGACATGCTGCTGTGACAGGATTTACCTAAATTGTCTCTCCAAAGAGATCTTCCCACATACCTTCCCCTTGCCATTGTCTCTCAGTCCTCAGCTTAATTTTCCAGGGATGCAGGAGAAATCATGCTCCCAAAATCCCTCTGGTGACATTCCTTAAGCCCTTAGGCCTGAAGATTTTTTGTTTAGGTTTTCTTATTTTATTTTGGGGGTTGTTGATCTGTTTGTAACCTAAAATCCCAGGATAAACCCCAATCCTGTGATCCTGTGATTAACACCTTCAAGTACTGATCTGGCAATTTAACAGATTTTATGGCCAAGACCCCTGTGAGCAGCAATCCCACAGATTTCCTTCCATGGAAAGGAGCAATTACTAAATCCTTACCTCCTTACATCCTTAGTGTTCCGTTTCAAGCAGCAGTTCTGAGAAGGGAGCTGGGAAGGAGCTGTGTGATTTCCATCCTTGGAGATTCACAGGCCTTGGCTGGGCACATCCCTGAGCAAACTTTTCCATCTGGATCTGCTCCAAACCTGCCCCACTCCAACCCCACCTGCACAGCCCTGTGGGTGCAGTGTCCCGGCACATTTTCAAGGCTGTTTGATGTGAATTTATGGTGTAATTTCTCTCCCTTTAGGGCAGTTCCCAGGCCCCTGCTCCTGGTGCCCCCACTGGCAGCATGGCTGCCCCAAGGCACAGGCCCCAGCACGAGGAGCTGCTGCCCTACAGCCCCCTCATGGCCTGGCTGAGGAGCACCAACCCTGCTCTCTTCTGGGACCTCCCCAAGGTACAGCTGGAGCCCTCAGCAAGCGCTGCAAACCTCCCCTGGGGACAGGCAGGTCCAGCTGGGGAATTCCTGGTGGGACCTGGCTCTCACTGTGAGACACCTGAGCTTCCAGGCTTTGGTCCTTTGGGAATGTCCGGCCAGCCTGGAGCTCTGTGCCCGACTGGGGAGGGGGACCAGGGTCGTGCTGAAGTGAAAGGTCTGAAATGCCCAAATCTCAGCTTTTTGCTCTTATCTGGCCTTTTCTGCCCATTCCAGGTATATTCCCAGAACCTCGGCAGACTCTACGAGCGGGAAATCAGAGCCCTTTTTGAACAGGCCAAGATCTCCCTGTCAGGAAGAAGAAAAGGAAGTGAGTGGTTCAAAATCTGCCCTCTGTGCTGCTGGGCAGGGTTTGTTGGCACCCCGGGATGGTGACAGTCACCTCCAGCACAGGTGGCTCTCCCAGGCCTGCTCCAGGATTTTATTTCCTGGGTTTGCAGGTGGCAGGGTGGGAAAAGCCAGCTCTGCTCCACACCAGGCAGTGTTTGTGAGAGCCTTGGCTCCATGAATTCCCCACTTTTGTTCAGCTGCTTCTCAGAGCCGGCTGGGACACCGGCGTGTTCCCTTCCCTTCCCTGTGCAGGGCTCAGGAATGACACACTGGTGGTTGGGATCGTGCTCCAAGCAGCCACAGGAGAGAGAGAGGGATGTAGAAAAGCCTGGAAAACAAAACCTGTTGTCAGCTCCCTTCTCCCTGGCTCTCAAAGATTCCCACTCCACCATTATCTGCTGAAAAAAACCTCACCAGGTTTTCTCTTCCCTTGCCTTCACCTGCTCCAAGGGCTGGAGCTCCTCTCCCATGAGGACACGCTGAGGTATCTGGGGCTGTTCGGCCTGGAGAAGGCTCCAGGAAGACCCTGTAATTCCCCATCCCTGGAAGTGTTCCAGACCTTGTCAGACAGGCTTGGAGCAACCTGGGAGAGTGAGGGGAAGTTGTCCCTGCCCGTGGCAGGGGTGGAATGAGGTGATTTTTTGGTCACCCCCAAGCCAAAGCATTCTGTGATTTTATGATTGTCTAAAGCCTGGTTCGTATTTCATGCAAGATTCCTCAGACACTTTCCCCTGCAGGGGGAAGCCTGTCCCAGAAGACAGGGGGAATTCACAGCAATATTTATGGAATGATCTCACAGTGAGCTGACTGCCAGGCTGTGTTGTCCCAAGGTGCTCATTTCCACCAAAATCGCTGGGTCTGACTCAAAATATTCCAGTCAGGTGTTTCTGAAGATAAAAAGAGAAACTGATCTGTCTCCTCTGGAAATTTTTTATGGCCCACAAGTCACATTTTCCCTCAGTAAAACAAAGAGCTGTAATGGAAATTTCCAGGCCAGTTTGGCCCAGTTTGAAGGTCAGGCTGGTGTGTTTTGTCCATCAGAGTCAGCACTTCCAGCTCTGCACTTCCTTCATCAGCCATGTCCAGATCCCAAGCCAGGGGATGAAGCTGAAGGAAGGGAATGAAGGCGGTTTATGGCTCCCACTTTTGGGGTTCCTCACACCCAAAACATCCCGACCACCCCTTCCAGCTCCTCTTCCCAGTGTCAATCCCCTGGGAAAGTCACTCAGCAGCTGGGAAAACAGGGGACCTCAAACCCCTGGGATCAAAGCAGGATGGGGAGTGCTGACACAAATACCTGCACAGCAGTCTGTAAAAAAAGAGAAAAATTTCACCTAAGTAGTCCAAATGGCACCCAAATGGGCACCACTGGACCATTTATGGGAATAAAGTTGTTAAATTAAACAAAAGGTGGTGCTGGGCACGTGTGACAGCCAGTCTGCCCCATCCCCTTCCATAAACATTAAACTGGGATTTCCTTCAGTATTTTATCCATCTTTAAATCCTATACAAGTCTGTAAACCAGGAGGGATTAAACCCCAGGAGAAAACCCTTGGAAGGCTACAAGGTGTTCCTGCTCTGGTAGAAATCAGCCCAAAGTGTCTGCCCAGTGCTGGGGCTCTCCACGGGCAGGACAGGGTGAATTTTGTTGTCCTGAGATGTCTCTGCTCTGCTCCAGAGGGTGAGGACAGGTCTGGGACAGGCAGGAAGCCCCAGGCTGGGCTGGGGTTGTTCAGCCCATCCTTGATGTGAGCAGCGCATTGGAACAACCTCGCAGTTCGTGAGAAAAGGGGGAATTTTTAGCAAGTTGTGCCCACAGAGGTCGTGGCACCTTCCCCGGGGCTGGCGGTGTCCCATCGAGCTCTCTGTGCCATCTCTGCAGCGCTGGGGGCAGAGCAGGGGGACAGCGTCCCCCTCCCTCTGCAGGGCAAGGTGACCCTTCCCAGCTCCAGGAGAGCCCAAACTCCCAGTGCGGCTCTCCAGGGTGCTGCAGACGCGTCCGGCTGCAGGAGCTGTCCCCGGGGCTGTCCCCGCTCCCGGAGGTCCTGCTGCAATATTCCCGCAGAGCTGGCTGCCCCCGGGACGGTTTGCAGGGCACGTTTGGCTTTGCTGGATTTCTGCATGAACCTCATCCAAGGTCCTTCCTGCTCATGGATGGAGCCCAGGCTGTGAGGAAACCTGCCTGAAAACATCCCTTATCCCTGCTGGAAAACATCCCTCCCCCTTGCCCCAAAACTTCCCTCATCCCTGCCCTAAAACATCCTTTATCCCTGCCCGAAAACATCCTTTATCCCTGCCCCAAAACATCCCTCCTCCCTGCTGGAAAACATCGCTCCTCACTGCTGGAAAATTTCCCTCATCCCTGCCCCAAAACATCCCTCCTCCCTGCCCCAAAACATCCTTTATCCCTGCCCCAAAACATCCCTCATCCCTGCTGGAAAACATCCCTCCTCCCTGCCCCAAAACATCCTTTATCCCTGCCCCAAAACATCCCTCATCCCTGCTCCAAAACATCCCTTATTCCTGCCCCAAAACTTCCCTCATCCCTGCCCCAAAACATCCCTCATCCCTGCAGTCAAACTTTCCTCATCCCTGCTGGAAAATATCCCAGTCCAGGTCTCCAGGCCACTTCCTTTCTCCTGATTATCCCAGTAAATATTTTGGGTTGATTCCCCACCCTCATAAAGTATTTTATTTATGGCACCACCTGCTGATATATTGCCTTATGTGATGGGAGAGTTTAGAAGGCAACCTCGAGCTGTTTATAGCAATTAGGGGCCAGTAATTAAGTCCTTTCTCATTTTGCCATTCCGTTTTCTGCAGGTTTGTTAAATTCTTTCCCACTTGCTGTTGGAAGATTTATTTTTTCCTGGTTTTGCCACTTCCCAGCTGGTGAAATTATAATGTAATTGTGAGAAAAAGGCTAGGAAGCAGCTTCTTAATTTAGTCCTGGTTTTAGCAAGGCTGAGGTCGTGAGCAGGGCTGGCTCATCCCTCATCCCTGCTCATCCTGGGGCTCAAAAATCCTTCCCAAAGGGAAAACCCTTCAGGAGTGACTCAAATGGGGATATTTGAGATACTGTGATTGGTGGAGGTGACCTGACTCCTCCAGAACTTTTGGAATAGGGGAATGATTCCCATTTCTGGAAATAATTAGGAAATAATCTGGATGTTTCCCCAATGATTCCTTTCAGGGAGTAGAAAAATGTTTTTAAACACATCTTTCAATGGATTTTTTCAACTTTTCCACTCAGGCCAAGCTCCCAGTGCTAAAACTGCCAATGTTGCAGTAATATATTTATTTCCAGTGAAAGATTTTAATTTTATAAAGGCATTTTTTGAGAAAAAGCCATTCCCACCTCCCCTGGATATTTTTTAATGGCAATTTACAATCAAAATTAAGCACCAAACAATTTTCCTGGGGCTTTTGCAGGTTTTTGTACTGATCTGTTCTCTTATCCCCTGGGATTTTCCGCAACCCAGCTGTCAGGAGTAAGCACAAGGCAGCAAAGGAATAAACACCACAATCAGAGAAATCAAAAGGCAGTTTAATGAAACAAAAATAATGAAAAAGAGGGAGAAACAGGTGAGAAGGCAGAGAAAAACTGGGAATTTCATCCGAATTCCCCATTTATCTGAATGCAACAGGAAAAGATTAATTCCTGCATGAGGTCAGATGTAAAAAGAGCCATTTAAGACTTGAAGTATCCAGGACTCCAGGAGCTGGAGAATCCCAGGGGGATGAGAGTTCTGACGTCCCACACCCCGTGCAGGTCTGCAGGACACTTGGGAGAAGCCGATGGGGACCAGGCAGCCCCGGTGGAGCCTCCCCAGGAGCAGGGAAAGCCAGGAGGACACCCCAGCCAGGGGGAACATCTGCAGGGTAAGGAGCTGAGGGCTCCTCAGGAGTTCCATGTCCCACCCACCCCATGACCCCTCCCCGGGGCAGAGCCTGAGGCACTCCCTGTGCTGCCCGATGTCCCCTCGGGTGGACACAGAGCTGCTCCGGTGTCCCCAGTGAATCCCAGAGGGTTTCCAGACCAAAGGTGCTTTCTCAGCAGGTGTTGCAGCAGGTGCTGAGCGAGCTGCAGCCCCTTTGCACCTCGGAACAGCAATTCCTGCAGGAATTCTTCTGCCTCGGCTGCGACTCCGTGGAGCTGCAGGCGCTGGGGGTGAGGGTGAGCACCGTGTCCCCTCCAGGCCCATTACCCAGGCTGGCACATCCATGGGGACCTGGGCTCTCCTGGGCTCTCATCCTCCAGGAACCAGCAGTAGGCAAGCTTAAATGGAATTTAATTGACAGCTCCAGGAAAATCAGGGGTCTCCAAGCATTAAACAAGCTGCAGCAGAAATAAATCCAGAGCTCATTTTCCTGGCTGAAGGAGAGCAGACAAATCATAATTTGGTGGGTTTAGGTGGGATATTGGGAAGGAATTCCTCCCTGTGAGGGCAAGGAGGTGCTGGGATAGAATTCCCAGAGCAGCTGTGGCTGCCCCTGGATCCCTGGCAGTGCTCAAGGCCAGGCTGGACATTGGGGCTCGGAGCAGCCTGGGACAGTGGGAGGTGTCCCTGCCCAGGGCAGGGTTTTGGAGTTCATCCCAAACCATTCTGGAATCCTTTGATAGCTTCCCCTCTAATCTTTTTTCAGGGATCTGCCAGTAAGGGAGGAGAGCCCATGGCACCTCCAGAGGAGCCTCCTCGCACCAAGAGCCAGAGCCAGTAAGTGGGGAAGGGGATACCCTGGGTGCTCTGACAGGACACAGGCTGAAGTGTCCCCTCCCAGTTAATTCCTGACTTTTTCATGATTTGGTTTGGTTTTTAAGGCCAGAAGAAGCCATAACCCAAATGCTGAGTGAGATCTTCAGCTGCCTGGAGCCGGAGCTGAGGGCATTTCTGGATGTCTGCAACAAGGTTCACCCACTGGGCTGCCTGCAGGTCCTGGTGGCCTTGAGTGACTCCGTGTTTGGGAACTGGGGCCCTTCCTCAGCTCCCCCCTCGTCCTTCCTGCACACCCTCCTGGGGAATGTGCTGCTCCTGGCCAAGAGCAGCTTCAACAAATGCATCGTGAGTGTCCACGGTGGGAGGGAGCCCAACAGACCCGAGTGATGTTTGACCTCTTCCAGAACCTCCCAAACAGAATCCCAGAACCATGGAGGCTGGAGAAGACCTCCACAATCACACAGTCCAAGCTGTGCCCAATCCCCAGCTTGTCCCCAGCCCAGAGCTCTGAGTGCCACACCCAGGTGTTCCAGGGATGGGGACCCCAAACCTCCCTGGGCAGCCCCTGCCAATGGCACAGCTCCCTGTCAGCCTCAAACACGGAGTACCACATTCCTCGGGGTTACAGAAGGCATTGTAAATGGCAGAAGCCTTCCCAAACCCAACTGCTTGCCTTGTTTCCTGCCCTGTGCTCCACCAGATGAGGTCGGATCTGAGGGTGCCACCTCTCTGTGTCATTGTCAGGGGAACTTGTGCAAGGAGATGGAGGAGGCCAAGACTGGCAGCAGGACGAGAGGGGGGATCCTGCCCTGCGTCAGCCACTTCCAGGAGTTCGTGGCGCTCTCCGAGGAGGTGTTCCGGACATCCCAGCGCCGGGGGGAGCTGGACAAGGCCCAGCTCAGGCTGGCCAGCAGCGTCTTCAGCAGCAGTGAGTGCCAAGGCTGGGTGCTCTGGTCAGGAAATGTCCCCCTGCAGCTGCAGGAGTGACCAGCTGGGCCACCAGGGCAGGGTGAGCTGCCTGTCCCTGGGCACTGAAATCTCTCTGCCTGAGTGAGATCCTGGGAGCACCAGGCACATTCCAGGTGTGGCAGGGTGGGAGCTGCCTGTCCCCTTTCCCTGAGCAAGGTTCTGGGAGCACCAGGCAAATTCTGGGTGCTCTGTCACAAGGGGATGGGCCCGGGGGTGACAGGGCTCAGCTGACACACAAAGGCTCGGCTTTGGATCCAGTTCCAACATCTCCTCCCTCACTGAGGAGGGGGAGCTCCTGACACATCAGACTCCTCTTACAAGGTCTTGGGAGCCAGAAAAACTCCCCCAAAACCCTCAAAACCAAGGGGTGTTGGTAGGGAGAGAGGGGTTGGGAGAGCGGGGTGGGGAGCTTCCAGTAGATCCCTATGTTGTCCCAGCTGGAGCCCTTAGCTTCCTGTCAGTGAAAATATCCTGTGTTCCTGCCTGGAGAGGACCTGAGGGGCTGCAGAATTCCCAGCTCTGACCACAGATTACAAGGTGGTGCAGAGGGGCAGCTCCCACCTGCAGGTGAGCCTGGGGTGACCCACTGATAAATCCGTGGGCACAGCCCTGCCAGGCTCCAGGAATGTTTGCAGGGAAGCAGGTCAGGCAGGGAATCATGGACAGGGATCAGGATTTGTGTTATAATTACTCCCTCTGAAGTCAGACGGTTCAAACGAGCCGTCCCAAAGGCTCATCCCTCCTGAGAGCCTGCAGGGGCTTCTCTCCACACCTGAGTCCTTCCTTTCCAGTCAGCAGCCTCTCCTCAGCAAACCTGAAGGTGAACACAGATATGGTGATGATGGAAAATTTCCACCATGTCCACAACTTCCTGTGCCAAAGGAACATCCCCTGCCTGGAGGGCAAGAAGAGAGAAGCCAAGCAAAGGTCCAGGGAGCACATGGAGAAATACGTCACCACGTACGTGGGCCAGCCCCTGGAGAGGCTGAAGGTGAGCACAGGACCCTGGCCTGGGCCTCCAAGGGCAAGGGCTCTTCCCAAAACTCTGGATTAACTGGTGTTGAAATCTCCCTGCCCTGAATCCAGTCTGGGATTATGTTACTTTGTTGTCACAGGATATGAGAGCACCTTGATTTCATTCTGCTCAGGGATTCCCAAAATCCTGGAATGGCTTTCTCCAGCTCTTCCAGTCTGAGCACAGACACCAAGAGAAGGTGCAAAGGGGTGTGAATAGTGCAGGAACCCATTCCTGGTTCTTGGAAACAATCTGTACATTTAGGAACTCTAAATCCTTGGGATTTAGGGTATTTCTCCACAGCTAAATTGCAGCAGGAATACCCAAACAGATTCTTGGGCTGCATGAAGAGACAGGAGGATGAAGGAAGGAATTATTCCCTTGTTTTACAGCAGATGTGGAGTGAGTGTCCTGTCCAGTGTTCCCTTTCCTGACCACTTCTGGGTTTGTCTGTGCAGTCCCACCTCAGCAGCATCACAGAATTCTAGGCTGGAAGGGATCCCAAAGGATACCTTGCCCAAACTTCACTGAGGCTGCTTGGATGAGATTCTGTAGCTCCCTGTCCGGTCACATCCTGAAAGCTCCAGCGGTGGGGCTCTATCACATGCCTGGGCAGGTTTGATTGATCATCCCAACTTGTCACTGGAGAAAGTTCCTTATATCCAGACAATGTGATCAGCCTGCCTTTCCCCCAAGGAAGCCTTTCCCACTCCTCTTTGACAATCGTGTCACGACAATCAAAAACCATGTGCGGGTTTTTCCATTTTCCTGCTGCCTTGTCCTTGTAACCATTTCCAAATGGTGAACCAAGACACGGGGGGCAGAATTCCAAAGCATTGGTGGGGAGCTTGTTCCCAGTTTGTTCCCAGTTTGTTCCCAGTTTGCTCCCATTCCCACTCTGGTTGCGTGCCGGCATCTGGCAGATCCCAGCTCTTTTTTCACAGCTGCCTGGGCTGATCCATCCAACACTTCCCAAGTGGCTGCTTTGTTAACTGAGCTAAGAGCATCTGGCTCTGCTAACTCAAACAGACATTCCTTCCTTCCCGAGACTGCAGCTCTTCCGCTCCTTCCCTCTCCCTAAAATGTCTCACAGATGGAGCTCAGCTGGAATTATTTATGGGACCTGTTACTTCCAATTTGTTTCCAGTCATTGCTGTCAAACATTTGTTGGCTTGGCTGGAAAATCAGCTCCGTGTCTTGCGCTACCTGAGCTCTGCTACGGCTTCAAATTCTCCCTTTTCTAAGGGAAAAGATAATTTTATTGCTCTCAACAAAGTTGAGTGGGATATGAGAGCACCTGAAAGTCCTGGCATGGCCGTCTCCAGCTCTCCCAGTTTCTCTTCACCAAGAGGAGGTGCAAAGAGGTGTAAGTAATGCAGAAGCCAATTTCTGGTTCTTGGAAACAGTTCATACATTTCGGAACTCAAAATCCTTGGGATTTAGGGTATTTCTCCACAGCTAAATTGCAGCAGGAATACCCAAACAGATTCTTGGGCTGCATGAAGACACAGGAGGATGAAGGAAGGGATTATTCCCTTGTTTTACAGCAGATGTTGAGTGAGTGTCCTGTCCAGCTCTGGCAGAGATGTCAGGAGAACTGAGAAAATTCTGGTTTTGCTTTACACCTCTGCAGGTTCTGGGATCCCCCTTCCCCACCTCTGGCTCCAAACCCTCTGTGGGGAGAAAACCAAGGGGAGCACCAAGGAACTGGAGGGATTTTCCAGCAGTCCCATTGCTCCATGGGCCTGCAGCCCTTAGGGATGCTGCTTGTTAGGCAGGGAGGGGAGAGAACCATGAAATTCCCTAAGTTCTGCTGAAGAATAAAAATCTCCAACACTTCATTAAGCATTCTTAAAATTTTTTTTTTTCAATTGAATTAGACATGGGAACGGAGGGCAGTGCTCAGGGGTCAGCCCTGGTGCAGGAATACCTCAGGATGGCTCCTCATGGAATGTCTCCTTCCCTTCCCAGCATTTCTTCGACGGGGTCAAAGCCCGCCTGGCTCAGGGGGTGAAGGAAGAGGAGGTCAGCTTCCAGCTGGCCTACAGCAAGCAGGAACTCCGGAAAGTCATTGAAAAATATCCTGGCAAGGAAGTCAAAAGGGCCCTGGAGAGCGTCTACAGGACAATCCACAAACACCTGTCCCCAGAGGAAAATCTTCTGCCGGTAACTGGAGTGGGATGGGTGTGACACTGGGATGGTTGGGATTCACACTGCACTGCCTGTGTGGCTGCAGGGGCAGGGGAAGGAGCTCAGGTTTGCTTTTCCAGGTGGTGTAGCAACCCATGGAGCAGGCTTCTGCTTTTCCAGGTGGTGTGGCAGCCCATGGAGCAGGGTTCTCCTTTTCCAGGTGGTGTGGCAGCCCACGGAGCAGGGTTCTGCTTTTCCAGGTGGTGTGGCAGCCCATGGAGCAGGGTTCTGGTTTTCCAGGTGGTGTGGCAGGCCATGGAGCAGGGATTCATCCGGCAGTACCAAGAGTTTGAGGAGCTCATCCAACGCTGCTATGCAGGAGCAGGGATTGCCCTGGACTTCACCATGGAGGATGTGCTGAGCTATTTCAACTCCATCACCATGTCCAACATGTAGGGAAATCCCTCTCTGGATGTCGGGAGCAGCTCAGGAATCCTTGTCTGCAGTCACACCTCCAAGGAGCTGAACACAAAACCATTCCCAAGTAGGATATTTGGGGTCCTACCCTGAACTTAATCCCAAAGTCCCTCTGACTTGTTGGTCCTGGACTAAATCTCTCTTGAAGAAGTGGAGTTGTTGGACCCAAACCACAACTTCCCTGCTCCAGGAAACCATTTTGCCACCAGGAAATGACACTCCAAGCCTCAGATTTCCCCCTGAGTGAGCACTGGTGCTGCAAGTCCTCAGCAGAACATTCACAATGGAAAAATGTTTTCTCTCCAGGGACTTTCTCCTTTTCTGTGCTCGAATTTCAGTGAGCCTGTGCTAAACCAGAGGGTTAAACCACATGGAGACGCTCTGAGTGTGAGGTGTTCCCACATCCAGATATCCCAACAGGCACTGCTGCTCCACGGCTCTCCACTGAAAGTCATCCAGCAGATGAAAGTCCAGAGCTGTAAATATTAATGGATTTATTGCTTTTAGCTCAGATTTGCTCACATCTTAACTGGAGTGGAGAAACGTGCAGTTCTAGAGATCCAAACCGATCCTGCAGGGAATTGTCTGCTTTTAACCAGTTTTTGTAGGAATCTTCCTACAGCAACTCACCAATATTATTGTCATTCTTTAAATGTTGTCTCTGTTTCTTGGGATGATCACGAGGCTCACATGTTTTCTGTCACAAACTTTTTCCTAAACAACTGAAGAGTTTGAACTCCTTGATATTTGCTTCACAGGACTTTATTTTATTTATTTTTAAATAAAATAAAAGATTATTTTATTTATTTTGCATGTTAGAAAATTATCTTGGAGGCAAGATTCCCTGTGCATTGCCAGGGAGGTGGAAGGCTGCTGTGGCTGCTTGGACAGCCCCTCTTCTCCAGGGATATCCTGGCTTCTTCAGTGGGAGCTTTAAGCCAGCACATAAACCCAACTTACCCTTGTAAAGGGAAAAATCCAGACTATTTTTCTGGGATTTTTCAAGCAGTTGGCCTTTGGGTCAAGGTCCACCTCTGCAGGGAGCAATGTTTAGAGCTCCCGTTTCCAATCTCACCATTCCCTCCCTTTGTCCCGTGACGTGGCTACTCCCAGCAGGAAGGGGATGGTCATAGGAAACCATCCAGCGCTGCCTTCCCAGCTCTTCCCTCTGCAGGTAACAGGAATTTTGGAACCCTCTTTCCTTTCAGTTTTTGGCTCAAGGGCTCACCTGGGAGGGGAGGGGAGGGCAGCAGGTGGGGGCTGTAGGCTGGGATATGAAGGTGCTGCAATTTGGGAGCACTGGAGAGGACGCCCAGGGTGAAGGGATTTGCAGAGGTGGCTCCGAGGTTGTTGAACGCCAAACACCAGCAAGGAGGGGCAGGGATCCCTCTGGATCTGCTGATGGCTCCCCTATAACCAGTGCAGTCACTGGACACAGCCCAGGCCATGCCATGGAAGGGGATAATGGGATCTTGCTCCAAACAGGCTCCTCTGGCTGTCGGGAGCAGACATCCCAGTGAAACTGCACCTGGCTTTACACTGACCCTGCTCCTGTGCCAGTGGGGCTGTGGGGTCTCTCCTCACCAACCACTTCCCATGCAGAATCATGAACCATTTAGGCTGGAAAAGCTCTCTGAGATCATTGAGTCCAACCATCCCCCCTGGCCTGCCAACACTCTAACCCATGTCCCTAAAAGCCAAGGGCAGTGCCAGAGGATCTGAACCCAACCTAAGCCACCAGGAACCTGTGACCCCAATCTGGGGAGTCCCCCCACCCTGAGCCCTGGTACTGTGTCACCCTGAGCCCCTGGCCTCACCCTCTGCCTTGTGGTGACATCTGGCAGCTTAAAGACACATGACAAGAAACGTCCCCAGATGTTTCCTGCTGCTGTGCCAGGCTCCAGTTTGTCTCCACTCTCTGGCTTGGCTCCACCTGGATGAGTGTCCACACCTGGGAGGACCCCAGAGGGGGCTGGAGGAAGGATCACACCCATGGTCCCATCCTTGGTGCACACGGGGTTTGTGTGTTGAGAGCTTGGCATCTTGGTGACATCAGCCCTCAGCGACATCAGCCAGCTGGTGCCCACACCTAGCCCAGCCAGGGGCTCTGACAGGCTCGGGTGCCACCAGATGCAGACCAGGGTCCGAGGCTCTTGCAGGGAGGAGGATTTATTGCTTCTGTACTTCTGCCACCTGCAGGACAGAGGAAAACCTGGGCGATTCCTCTCAGCCCTCAGCTCCCTGGATCATTTTCCATTTCCCTGCATAGCTGGATGCTCCTAACTTCCATATTCTCTGGTTTTCCATGCCAGTTCCCAACCCTGAGAGCATGGCTTGGAAGGAAGAGGGCACAAGCCCACCCTCGTGTTTCATCCAGCGCCTGGACCACCTTGTGCTGACCGTGAAGAGCATTGAGGACACTGTGGCCTTCTATTCCAAAGTCCTGGGCATGGAGGTGGTGACGTTCAAGGTAACCATGACCTGAGTTAGCAGGACCCCACCAGGCCCCCAGGGTGTCTGGGACTGCCCGGGGCAGTGGGTGCTGACGGTGTCCAGCCCAGGAAGTCTCCCTTACTCTGGCCTTTTCCTTTGGGAACAGGGGAATCGCAAAGCTTTGCGCTTTGGCCAGCAGAAGTTCAACCTGCACCAGGCTGGGCAGGAGTTCGAGCCCAAGGCTCGGCACCCTGTGCCCGGCTCTGCGGATTTTTGCCTGATCACAGCAGTGCCCCTGGAGCAGCTGCTGGAGCATCTGAAGGTGAGGAGGGCCCAGAGAGTCTCCAGGGCAGTGTCACCCCAGGAGACACAAATCCAGGGCCTCTAAGTGACACTTTCCTGGGGAATGTCGGGGCTGTCTCATGCAGCAGTTCATGTTGTCAAGGCTGGGGGAGGAGGGCACAGTGATGATATGACCATCAAACCCCTGCTCTCCTGTGTCCTCCAGACCTGTGGGGTGGCCATTGAAGAAGGTCCCGTGGCCAGAACTGGTGCTGTGGGTCCAATAACCTCCATCTACTTCCGAGACCCCGACGAGAACCTGGTTGAGGTTTCCAGGTACTGCACGGATGAGGCTGCAGGCCCTGAGGGGGAGCCCTGACCACAGCCCATGCTCTGCCTGGGTCCCAGCAGGAGATGGGGTGCAGAGGCCAGGTTTGGCTGGCCCATTTAAAGGTCCAAGCTTTAATTGTGTAAACCTGGGACACGCCTCAAACCATAGCCACAAAATAGGGCTGCAAGGACCTACTTTGGGAGTTTTCCCAAGGCAGCCTGCTTTGCTCTGCTCTGCTCTGCTCTGGGTGTGAATCCTGCTTTTATACATCTCCATCATGGAGATTTCATGGCCTTCTGGGAAGATCTGTCCTGCTGCTGCTGCATTGCAATTGCTGGGACATCTTCCCTAATTCCTGCTATCCCTTTTGCTACACTGTCCACCTGTCACTCCTCTCCAGAGTCACTTTTCCACAGTTGGATATTTCTGTCTCACTTCCTCTCATCCTCCTCCCATCATCCTCTCAAGCTGCCTGATGCTGGTGGCTCTCCCAGCATGCCAGAGGTTTAAATCCATCAGTGGCTGTCCAAACACATTCCTCTCCTGGGATTTGGGAATTTAGCTTCAGTGTGACACTCAAAAACTCTTGAAACTGAAGCTCCAAGTTTCATCTTCAGCTCTGTATCAATAATTGTGGGGTTTCTGACACTCGAGAATTGAAAAAGCAGGGATGAGGAGCCTACATGAAGGGCAGTGTCAGAAGTCCAGGGGTTCACCTGGATTTATGGAGGGATTGAGGATGGTCTGGCACAGAGGAGTCTGACTGTGATGGCACCCGGTTACTTGTGGGACTGTCCTGAGTTTTCTTCTCCTTTAGTTATTTAAAAATCCATTTCAAAGTTATCTAAAAAGAATAAAATAATGAAGGACCTGGGGATTCTCAAGCAGAGCAGTTCCGAGGCTGGCCACACTGAGGTAGCATCGATATCCTCACGGGAACAGCGCTGGAAAGGAGGGAGGACTCTTCTGACCTCTACAGTGCAAATCCTCTGTAAAATTGAAACAATCTCTGAATTGTACTTATTTTTTCTTTGCTGGAATTTCGTGGGAAATTCAAAATTCTTCATAGTGCTAATAAAGGCAAGGTCACAAAATATTCATTGCTTTGGATGATCAGCGGGGATGAGCTGGTTTCCATTGAGTCGTTTGTGGGAACTAAAGACAGGAATGCCATGGGAGAAAGCCACGGGCATCTCCTCGAATGGATATCCGGGAAGGGATCCCAGGGAGGGATCCGAGGGAGGGATCCCCGAGAGCGGAGTCCCCTCGGCCCCCGCGCCCGCGGAGCATCCCGCGGCTGCTCTCCAGGGTGCTGATGTGCCCCCGCCGTGTCCGGGTACGGCGGGACCCCTCGGGGGTCCTGCCCACGGGAGAGGGTCGGTACCCATGGGAGGGGGTCAAAGCCCATGGGGGACGGTTAATCCCCATGGAACGGGATTGGTTCCCACGGAAGAAGGTCAATCCCTACAGGAGAGGTCAATGCCCACCGGAGAGAGTTAATCTCCAGAGGAGAGGGTCAGAGCCTTGGGTAGGGCCTAATCCCCATGGAACAGGGTTGGTTCCCACAGGAGAGAGTCAAAACCCACGGGAGAGGGTCAAAGCTCATGGGAGAGGGTTTCGTTCCCTCCACTGGAGCCGATCTTGCTTCTGTCCCACATATTAATCCCTTTAAATGCTGGCTGGCCTGGAGAACTGGCCTGGCTCTGTGGCTTTCCTGTTCACCACAGAGCGAAACATGGAATTACACTTTTGGGGATCTCACACTTGACCCAAACCACAGGAAACTCAAAACTTGTCATGGAAATTTAGCAAGTATTTGGAATGTGTGGATGATAGAGGAACTTCTCTTGGACTGGTGGTGTTGGAGCACCGGAGGCTTTGCTGGCTGATGGTTGTTGTTGTCTCTGGGAGAAAGAACCTCTGGGACTCAATGTTTTCACCTGGAGGAACCACTGGCCACAGGCCAGCACTGCAGCTGTCCCTGTCCCAACCTCTGCTGGGCTTCCCATCTATTAGAAAAGCCTCTGTATTGTCAGTATTCCAATTAAAACGGATAGTTTACATTATGCAGCATTAAATCTTTATGGAGAAAATGAATTTAATTCAATTCTTTATTTGGCAAGATTCATTGTGAATATTGGACAGTAGGAGAGAGTGGATGAACAGAGGTGGGAAAACGGTTTTCTTCTGGATGGTTCATTCCCTGCACAAACCATGACCAGCAAGAGAAAGGATCTTCCTTCTTGTCTGCTCCCATCTCATCCCTCTTGAATACTGATTCCCACAGTAGATTCCACAATTTTATCATGATCATATTGGAAAGGAGCTCTTTGGATCAGCAATCACAGTGTTTAATGTGGAGAAATGTTGAGTTCTCCATCTCACCACTCAGGGGGGTGCAGGGGAAGGAGCCTTCCAGGGAATGGCTGCTCAGGAGCACAGATGAGTTAAGAGCAAAGTCTCAGTGAGCTTCCCCTCCTCTCACAGGAGGGAAACAGGAGTTTCCCAGTGGGAGTCACAGTGTATGTGCCCAAGTCACCTCCCAGAGAAACCCGTGAGCCAGCTCAGAACAGGTGCCTGGGAAAGCCTAGGAAAGCCAGGAGGGGTGGGGTGGGACAGCCCTGGGATGGGCAGGGATCACCCTCAGCATGTAAAACTGATGTTGGATTCCTCATTTACCAACTGTCTCCCGTTCAGAAAAGACATCCAGGTCTCAAGGGTCCTCAAACCATCCTTTGCACACAGAGAGGTGGCAAACACTGCCCATGGGTCGGAGAAACAGGAGGCTTTCACTGGGAAGGAAAAGAATCCTTCTTTGCTGGAGAGTTCTGCAGGCAGGGCTGTTTGCAGCAAGGATGGATGTCTCCTGTGGCCAGTGGGATTGCCTGACCCTGATCCCAAAACTGCCCAGAGGAGCACTAAGAAAAGCACAGGCTCTGCAGCTGGTCCTCCTCTTCTTCCCAGACTCAGCAGTCAGGCATTCTGCACAGAATGAGCTCGGAATCCAGCTGTAAAAAATGCACAGGTACTGTTCCTTCTGGAGAACTGGATGATACCCCAGGATTCTCAGAGATTTCCATGGGAGTTTTTTAATACTTGTGGTGGCCTTTCAGCTCCTCAGCTAGCACCAAACAGGAGTTGAAGTTTACTCTGTGTGTTAACCCACACACTCCTCCTGCCTCGTGGGTTCCTTTGGAATTATCTACTGGAAGGGGTGGGAACTTCCCTGCCCTTGGGAATCAGTAGGAAAGCACCAATGAAGAAAGGAATTGCAGCTTTGCCAGGACAAGCCCCTCACCAAGCCCCCATGCTGTCCCCTCACAGGCTGCAGGCCAGCTGGGAGCTGTCTGACAGGTTCTCCAGGTTGTCCACCAGAGTGATGATGGCTTCTATTTTTTCTTCTGGAAGCACGTGGGAGGCGTTGGATCGAAACTTCTTCAGGAGTGACTCTTTGCTCAGGGGCTTCCTCCAATGCCCATAGAAAGTGTCACATTTGCCCGTCAGGACGTCCCCGCTGTGCAGGAGCAGGGCCACCTCTCCGTACATCTTGTCAAAGTTGGCCACATTATCTTCAGGGTGCTCCACCACCACCTTGTCCAGCAGCTCCCTGAGCTCCTGCCGGTGGATGCTGCTCTCGGAGAAGGAGCCCAGGCCCACCTCGCCGTCCAGCAGAGCAGCACAGGCATTGAACTGGAAGGAGTGCCTTGCCTGGTGCTCCGAGCTGGGGAAAGGCCGGTTGATGTACTTGGACACCGGGATCTTCAGCATAATGGTGCGGATCAGGGACGGGGAGAAGGACCCCGCATAGTTGATGAAGAGGTTCCGGACGGACAAGGCAGCATCTACCACCCAGTGCATGCCCAGGTGGGCTGGGAACCGCTTGAAGGCAATGTCCTGCTTTTCCAGGAGGAACTCGTGGTGCTCGCCAGGTGCAGACAGCGGTTTGGGCTTGTAGACGCTGTAGAAGGCGCTGAACCCCGAGCAGCCCGGGATGTCATCCAGGATCAAGGGGTTGGCCTCCATCCCTCGTCCTGCCAGCAGAGCGGCCTCCAAGCCCAGGCGGGTGGCGTTGCCCACGTGCAGCGGCTTGGCCTGGGTGGCGGCGTTGGCCATGGGTGCCCCGGCCAGGGACGCGGCGATGCCCAGGGCGTGGCAGCACTGGGCCGAGCTGAGGGACAGCAGCTTGGCCGTGGCCGCGGCACTGCCCAGGGTGCCCACCACCGAGGGAGGGTGGAACCTGCAGGGGGACGGCAGGAATGAGCAGCCCTGACTGCCTGGCACAGGGAACACGAAAGGACCCCTCCCACAGAAAAACTGACGGCAAGTGAGGGGCCCATCAGCCAGTGGAACTCCCTCATGCCTTTGGTGCGGGTGGGATTCACCTGGCTCAGAATTTAAACATAAATTTTAATTAATAATTTAACTTTAAATCAGAGTTTCACTGCATATTAGTTTAACTCTAAATTTAGAGTTAATTAACAAAAATTTAGTCTAAAAACTGAGTTTCTCCTTGAAACCTCAGAAACACCAGGGTGAACTAGCATCTCCAAAAAGCAATTTGAACTTTCTCCAGGAGGTGCCATGGTTTGTGTCCACACAGCCAAACTTTTTACCCCTCAGATTATTTTACCCCAAATAATTCAGCCTCAAACACGCCCAAGGGAACAGTTCCTGGTAGATTCCACCGTTTGGATCACACCAGAGCACTGCTGGAGGCAGCAGTTGGCCCAGGGGCTGTGCCCACCACCAAACTCTGCTTGGTTCTGGGATCCTCCGCTGGCTGGTCAGGCGATGGCACTGCAGACTCCCTGGGAGTCCTCCTGAGGGTTATTTTTGAGGCAAAATCTCTGGCAATCACCAAATAAGTGCATGGTGCAATCATCTCTGGTATTTGGCTCTCAGTAAGGCTTTACCCTGGGGTAAAGCTAAATTAAACTGGACTTAAACTTGGCTTAACCTAAATGAACACTTCAAAACCCAGACTCATCAACCCTCTTCATCCTCGGCAAAGAACAGGAGCTTTACCTTTTGGGAATGTCGTGAGCCTC